CCCCCCCGAGTAAATCTTCGGATAATGTCAGAATGTGAGAACACAGCATGGGATCCTCTGCAGGATTTACCATGAGCCAGTGGGCGTGTGGATGACGCTTCTTTCAATTTGAACTTGGAGATATTATTCTCGATGATATCAGTTAACAGTGTGGAAGTAACATTTTCTGAAGCCCCTCACCCTTGCTGGAAGAAGGAGAAGCTGACACTGATGGGCATGTGGTAGATACTCAGAGGGATAGGGTCTCTCTCCTCTTGACTGTACTGATGGAGCAAAACACAGAACAAATACACAAATTACAAGGAAAGAGAAGAACAAAACATGTCTGTGAAAACAAAAATGTAGTTAAAAGTTAAATCTGTTAGCGTTGTTTGTTTTGGCTATAAAAGGATGTGTAAACAAGTCTGTGGCTGCTGCTGCTGACTCACCACAGTGACTTCATCTCCCTGGATGCTGACATCAGGGCGTCTGAAGTGGCACAGAGCACTGATGGCTGCAATGCTGGCAGCGTCCATCAGGTTCCCATCATGATTCAACAGGTGAACGTCCACTCGGATCTGCCACACCTAATCTCACACACACACACACACACACACAAAATCATCACCACATTGCTCCTTTTTTATTGTCAACAAAAAGATTAACTGGAAAACTATTGTTGTACAGTGGAAACAGTGCTCACAGTGATCTCATTTGTCCCAGGCCAAAATCATCACTATAAGCAATTGATTACTATAACCACATTGTGAAGCTTCTGTATGATAGTCACACACTCGTCCGGATTCACTCTTGCGCGCTGACAAAAACACACCGACACATGCACTCACTCACACAAACAATGTGATCGGACACGTGTAAACTCAGACTGGGTAAAAACAACAGAATTTGTAAACTTAGAATGACAGAGACACAGAGAGGAGCAGTAAGTGCACATACTGTATGTCTATCTAGAGTAATGAGGGTCAATTTTGGTTCAATAACATCATTGTGAGGACATTTTGTCGTTATTAGGACATTTTGGCTGGTCCTCACATATAAAATGTTTTTTTTGAGGGTTGAGACTGGTTTTAGGGTTAAAGTTAGGCATTAAGTTGTGATGGTTAATGTTGGGGGAGGGAATGCAGTATGTCAATGAGTGTCCTCACAACTATAGAGAAATATGCGTGTGAGAGTGTGTTTTACCTTTTCTCCAGACACCACACACAGGGACTCAGTATCAATGCACTTGGAGTTCCTCAGGCATCTCTCCAGCTGTCTGTTCAGCTTCACTGATAACTCTGACTGTCTGGAGGGAAAGAAAAACCACACAGGTGATGTACACTTCCTGCACGAACAGCTCCATCTGTGGAACCTGACAAAGCATAAGTCATATACAGCATGAAATGTACTAAAGTACAAACACAATCTCTGTAGTTTCTCCTAACCTGCCCTGTTCAAACGCTGGTGAGGCCATGGGTGACAGCTCAATGTTGAAGAACATGATTCCCTCATTTGGTCGATTCTCTTTTGGAGCCACCAGCTCACAGGACACCTGAGCCATGACCCTGCACATTGATGTTATATAGATATGACAAAGTGTTTAATGAACACTATATGAATTGGAAATGGAGATTGGGATCAGGCAAACACAAAATTCTTTTAAAAGATCTGATCCTACGTACCTGGTTTTTCCCAGATCCACAAAGCAGCATCCATAGTCTGTGCCAAACGTGATCTTTATCTTTCTGTAGTCGTAGGTCTGTCGTCCATCCAGGCGCTGCAGAGAGACAACAGGACAAGTTCAGTGGTAAAGAAAAAAAATCAATTTGTAAGTGGGATGCTGTGATTTTTAATCCCAGCATCCCACCCAAAATGACTCAAAGTCTGTAAACACTGCAGAGAAGAGACTAAGTGAAACACGGGACATCAGAATCACATTTATTGTCCAAGAATGTGTGCATATACAAGGACTCTGACTCTGGTTTAACATTTCTCTCAGTGTACTTACATAAAAAAAATCATCATACATAGAAAGAATGGTACAGAAACACTGGATATTATTGTGGTAGATAGTCTGGACTGTACAATAGCATGTGAGAATATAGTATACTGGAAACACTAATGACCAACACCATAAAAGTATACACGCTATGAGAGTATGGCTCAATGACAAATAAAGCTTCTCAAAAGGTTTTTTAAATAGTCTTTTCAATATAGATGTAATGTACATTTGTGAGGCCAGAACAATGTGTTCAAACAAGTATTATTTGTTAAATAACTGCTTAAATCCATTTTTAACTGTATTTTCAATTTCACAACCCAGCAAATCTGTCTGGTAATAAAATATATATATATATGTATATATATATATATATATATATATATATTCCTTCAATTTATTTTAAGTAAAATCTTAAAATGGAGTGTCTACATTGCATAACCTGGTATAGCTTTTAAGAGTTCTTTTAATTTCTCAAGTATTAAACATAGTCCTTCTGTCGGCTGAGCTTGTTGTTCCTCAGTATGAGCAGCAACAATCTTGTCTCTGTGCAAAAGCAAGAGAATTTCATTGTGTAACAGATGAAAATAAAACTTTATTAGCTGAGTTATCTCCATGCGATGGTTCCAATCTGGTGGCTGTGTGTATCTGAGTGATTAAAACATCTTCTTGAAATAAATGTATTTATTATCTACAAGATAATAAGATAAGAGAGAATAAGGTAGACAACAGAATACGAAATATGGCAATTGAATACAAATGTTGAAAATGTAGTAAGAAATGCTGAATATATATATATATATATATATATATATATATAGCTCAATAGCATTCACTGTAGTGGTTTGTGGAGAAAAGTTATAAAGTAACAAAACAATGATCATATTTTGGGACTTCAGGGGCTCTGTACTTTCCCTTCATTAGTTTAAATGAATGTTAACCGATTACCAGTTATGCCATTTTCTTTTCCAATACAGACATGTGTTTTAGTCAGCAGTTTCTTATTAAGTGTACTAATGGAGGAAAACAGACCTTTGTATATTAAAGGTAGTAAATGTATCGTGTGCACAAGTCAACTGAGCAGTGCGAGGAGACGAGTGGAAACAACTCACCTTCTTCTCCTGGATGGCTTTTAGCAGGAAGTCCCGCTCACAGTTGGACAGAGGAGTGTCCTTCATCCCTCCTGCAGTGGCTCTACCTGTATTCAAAGAATCTTCTTCACAACGCACAGCACCAGCCGGTCTACAGCTCCAACACGCATGGAGCAGCCATCTCTGTTGTCTCAACTCTCACCCGGAAGCGCTTAACCCGGTGAGGCCAGCCGCAGCATGCAAAGTCATGCGTGTTTATTCGTGGTGTTACGGTACAGGCGGGAAAAAAACGGGGGAAAAAGATTAAATATTTAAAAACGATTTTTAAGTGTGTGTTATTTCAAACAACTAATGAAAGCCAAACCGGCTACATGTGTTTTTTTCAAATTCATAAATTGCTGAAATTAATATTATTAAAAAATGGTTGTCACAATAAACCAATAAACTAGCCTCTGTCTTGTTCATCTTTATATACAGTCTATGGTTCAGGGTGACCCTCAGTGTCTGTCTGTCAAGTTTCAGATATTCAGAAAAAGATCTTCCCCTTAAAAACATGAGAGAGAACCTGTGGCAGCCGTCAGTTGTCATAAAAACTCAAAAGGTGTTTAGATTGTCCATTTTGGACGACTGTGAAAAACATGGTGGCCTCCATGAAGAGGACCTGTGCCCATTGTAAATATAGATAATTTGATTATAAAGGGCCTGTTCTGGGGTAAAGAAAACAATTCGTCCAATTTAGATGAAACACATTAGTGAAAACGTCACTCCGATTACAATATATTCATTTTCTTCCAATAGATCCCTTTCAACTAAATCTTTCACATTGAATGTTTAAACCACTACTACAAAGACATAGACAAAAATACACAGTAAATATATATATATACAGTATATATGATGGAGATTAGCTGACTTTTCTTTAAGTTTCTCACAATTTCTTCAGTGCAATGATTTGAAACTTGACAAACAGACAGTGGGTGTCACCGTGACGCAAGAGTCAGGTTAAAATTATTTGTCACCTTTAAATCATTTAATAAGTTGTGAATGTCACAATGAACATAGAGCCGGTTTCACCACATGTTTGTTAAAACATCTATATAAAAGCACCGTGTATAATTGTAAATGTCTAGTGTGGAAAGCACAATCTTTTTTTCTTACTTTATCAAGAAATCATAAGAAATGACTTTAAATATTCAACGTTTGTTTTCTGCCTGTATGTACGCCCGAGCGCCTCTACCGTAACACCACAAATAGACAGGCAACCGCGGTAAAGTAAAAGCAAGTAGAGAATTGTGTATTAAAGAGATAATAAAACCGTTTTAAATACGTTTGTATTTCTGTACTGCTGTTTTTGATCCATCAAATAACCCACTGGTTATTTGTGATTCTGAGCTGTTTGGTTTCATTGGACTCGTTTTCAACTGTGGAGAAATTACTGTTGAGTTAACCTGCGCGTGCTTACTCGTTATGAGCCAGGTTACGTTGTTACTGTGCATAGTATTATTATTGTTGTCATTGTTATACTATTACTGTAGTATTTACTGACAATAAGCTTTTAATTTGAAATCACGGTGGACAGCCGTACAACGTGAGCTTCTGGTGCATTCAATGACTCATCGTAAAGTCGTAAGTTGTATCTTTTATGGTTGTAAATATTGTGTTTTTACAGGATTTTTTAAAAATGTGAATGCACAACACTTATTCTAATGCTTGTTTCAGTATAAAAGAGTAGACAGACCGAATTTATCAAAAACACGTTGTTTGGGGTAAGTATTTTTTCGCTACAATTAATATTTCTGTCTGTAGTGAAAGGTGAATATTATGAACATGTATCACTGTATCTTTATTAAATGTTTTAATATTCTTTTTTATTGCAGGTTATCCTATTTGTGTACATCAGTCACGCTTTCCAGCTGCTACAGTGCGCATGCGCACTAGCGCAGCCTCGCACTTGTCAACCGTCCTCCAGGCCGAGCTGTCACTGAGGGTCCAGCTTCTCCAGCGTGCTGCCGTGTGTCTCCTCGCCGCACACCGGGGCTCTGGTTGTATCAGAGCGGAGCAGACGCACAAGACACGTCCCCGAGAAAACACCGCGTATCAGGACCTTTTCCTCCGCGAGATACAAGAAGGCTTAAGGTCTGTATGTGAGCTCATTCATTCTCCCCATCCCTCCCCGAGCGACATCACTGCTAATGTAGCGAGCTAACGGTCGCTATCCGCTCATTCCTGTGGTTTAATAAAACATTTCGCTCAGACATTACTGAAAACATTTTTCCGTTTCTGCCTTTTTTTTTTTTTTACCACCAAAACACGTTCAGTTAGAAGGCTATTAGTCTCAGCCCGACATCCAGCTAGCTAAGCTACTGTTATGCTAACATTTGCAGTTTTTTGTGAGTGGCGCTCCGTGCAGTTAGCTAGCCTCAGCTAGCAGAGCAGGTGCTGCAGTCACAGCCACTTATCCAAAAGTGTTTGGACGATGCAGTGTGCGGTGGCAGCCATGTTGCCTGCACAGTCCCGTCCTCTGACCTTTTCACTGTAGTTCTCAGATATTTTCAGCGTCACGTTCCTCTCATCTGTTAATGACAATGAAATATGAGCTTTTTGGAAACGTTGTCCCTCAACCAGAGGCTGGAAAGGGACACTACCACGGCACAGCATGACTGTGAGAGATGAGAGGACTGGAGCTTAATGGGAAACAGAATTAACTGGAGTAGCTGCCATCCAGACACAGCATCTGTTCCTTTGAGATAGGGCAGGGGAATGTGATCTGCTTGTCTTTGACAGTTCGCAGTGTAGATACATTAACGTGTTCGATTTTGACTCACACTTGGCTGGTAATGATACATGTGGGGCTGGGGACTGTTTATTCGTACCAGGTGAAACCACTAGATTCATTTCTATTGACATCTGACATCAGTTAAATTTGATTTACTCAAGGATAGCAGACATGTTTTGTCTGAATGCTGGAGCTCCACATTTATGTTGTCTGCATGTGTACAATCAGCGTTAGTTGTACTTGTTTTTCAGAAATTCTTATAAGACCTTAAGTTTTAACCCTTGGCTTCAATTCACTCTTCATGACATACTTTATGATCATGTTGTGTGAAAGGAGAAGGCTGTGGGGTTTAAAGTGTTCAGCTAGGAAAGGACTTGCCTCAAAAGTGTTAATTTCACTTTTGAGGTCATCATGTTGTGCACATTAAAAACCCATCTGTCTTCTATGAAGTATAGGTCAAAGTAGCTGAAACTTTTATAAGATATGCCAGAGAGCTGTTATCTCTTTCATGGATGCCAATTAAATGTATTGTTTCTACATTCTATATTTGAGAAGTCAGGTTTTTTTTTTTTTTTTAACAACTGCATCTATCTTCTGAGTGAGTGCATGTTTTGTATATACACATCTTAATCAATTTTTTTTCATCCACCTCTTCTTGCATATGATGTGGCCAAGATTTCTGAAATTAATCCTTTTGACCCTCCTGAGCCCCGATGTTGGCAAATAGGACAATGTCAGTGTGGGAATTAAAGCTAATTAGGAATTACGGAAAGTGTGCTGCTGTGCTGTCTGCGGTGATGCTTTTCATTTCCTGCTGCTCACAACAAGAGTGAGCAGCTGTGGCCTGATCAATAGGTCATTGAAACTGTTGTTTGGTTTAACGGATCTCTTAAATGTGCCATTATTCAGCAGGGTGTTTTAAGGTGTTGGAATGGGTATTAGGACACAGTCAAGTGTGTATTTGTAATCCTGTGCATGTACAAACTGCTAACATTTAGGTTAGGTTAGGATGTGCAATGAAGAGGAGGAAAATGTCATTTCAAACAAAGAGGCTAGTTGTATGTTATATTTGACCACACAGATTTCATTGCCAAAAGGTGTCTGCTCTTTGTATTTTGATTGGTGGAAATGCATCACCACAGAGAAGAGGTACATTTAAAGAGTAAGGAAATTGAGAATGTGAGATAAAGAAGCCCCCACATGAAGTATCAGTGTTTTCGTGTTCATGTGACCTCATCTCTACCCCTCACCCTCTCATCGCTACCACTTATATTCTCTATTTTTATCATTCATGCCTTCCCTGCTCTCTCCTCAGTCCGTTGTTCACATCATACTCCTCACTCCTAATCTCACACTCTCACACTTCTTTGCTCCCCTCAACAGATGAAGTTAGAAAGGGGTTGGATGTGGCATCTGCTGCTCCTGTCCTCCCTGGCTGTGGCCACAGTGGTGGCCCAGGAGGAGCTGTCAGAGGCTGACGTAGCAGACGTTGATGAAGATATGGGCCTTGAGGAGGAATTAAAGGTTCTAATGGCTGAAGAAGATGAAGAAGAGGAAGAAGAGGAGGTGGCAACGGTGATGGATGAGGAGTTGTCAGATGATACAGATGGGAAGGACACAGCAAGTGGGAAGGCCGAAATGGATGAAAACGTCTCTTTCCAGGTTAGGAATTTGTCATCAGTCAACCAAAGGTCATAAATGCAATAAAAAAGATTGCAGTAAATGAAACCTTGGAAATAGTTGGAAAGCTTGGTAATTTGGGAAAATTGTTTCTTGCATGACCGTATTTAACTTTTTTGTTACCCAGGTAAAATATGTGACTCCTGTTCCCACTGGAGATGTGTACTTTGCAGAGACGTTTGATGACGGATCGCTGGGCAGGTATTGCTTAAGATTTTTTTTGCCACATGCTGCTAAAAAAATTGTGAAATTGTCATGCATGCTGGGTTACATGAGGCTCCAATGGTATTGAGTGACCAGGATTAACTTAAGAATCAGTGGTCTAAGTTTGTGTGTGTGTGTTTGACCTTCACCCGCATGAAAGTGTTATGTGATTTTTATCTTCACAGTTGGCAGCTGTCAAAGATGGTGAAGGGGGACGCAGATGATGAAATTGCCAAATATGACGGTTTGTAGCTATTCTCCGCCTAATACGCACTTAATGTACGATCACATCTCATCTGTGATGAAAATGAGATGGATATTTACAACCATGGGCTGTATTTACCCGAGGATGGAGCAGTGGAGGTAAAGCCCCTCTCCTCCATCCAGCGTAAACCCACAATGTTTTTACTTCACCTCCGAGTGTGTGTGTGATTGTCATTCTTATGTAAATAAATGCACATGTGAACACAATGCGCAATTTATCCAGGTCAGCAAAATGATACAGTTGATGTCTATATATTGTACGATTAAGTTGATATAGTAATTATCGTGCC